TTGTTGTGTGTTCAATTTAATAGTCTTTGAATGGGGGATATATATAGTCACAAGTCTTTTTAAATGCACTTAATGTTTTCGTAAGAATAGTTACAAATCGCATTATACATTATTTCTTGATTATTTAGCGCTCACTCATACTAGTCAAACCACACGATAAAGTTATTACATACCAACATTATTAACAATATTGATTAGTTACTAAATTAAAAAATTAATTAAAATTAGTTAGAGAAATCAATAAAAAGTTAGTTAAAAATTAACAAAAAAATTAACCGGAAAAATTAGACAGAGAAATCAGTAAAAAAATTAAAAAATCAATTAAAAAAATTAACAAAATACCTATGGGAAAATGGCTTCACGTTTTGGAGAGACTAAATAATATCAGGAAAGAAGACAAGAAATAGGATACAGGAGATACATCTCATCAGACTTCATGTGAAGAGAAAGCAAACACATGGTGGGACCCATCAAATGACATGGTGTGTGCTATGTCATTTGGGTTGCTGATTTTGGAATTTGTTTGGAATATATAATATTGCTATAATTTTAATGTCAACACAATTTTTAAGTTATGAGTTGTTAATACTAATACAATTCCTAATTTAAGAGTTATTAGTTTTTTCAAACAAGTTTTGATTAAATATAACTATTGAGAGTATTTTCAACAATGGAGAATAAAATAGACTTATCTTCAAATAAAATTTTTAAATGTATTTAAATTCAAATATGTCTACAAAAAAAGACCTACCTCAAATGACCATAAGATTATTGGAGTAACTGGGTCAATGGGAGGGATATCTTCCTTCAATTCAACACCGAAGGAAACCCAACCCACCAGACACATTTTCTTTCTATCAGCCGAAACTCGGCGTCTCCATTTTGCCCGCAACATTTTGGGCCCTTCATGTCCAACTACCCAACTCTTGGATAAGGTAAGGGACCATAGGGCCCATATCATTGTCGATCAATTGACCTAGAAAGCCCATGGGCCTTGTTCTAGCAGCCCATTATTTTTGCAACAAGAAGGAGCCGCCAATGTACATAACGAAAAAATGATCAATGCTTCTTGGACAAAAAATATAGATGCCATTTCTCCCAAACAATATTCAATGCAAAGGCATTAGTATTGTGAAAGTAATACCACCAATAATTGAAGAAAATAAAATAAAAAAATAAATAATACTTAAATAGAAGGCGCACCTACCCTCAAAATCCAATCAAATGCCTCCTCCTGCTTTACAAAGCAAAACAGAGATTTTCAACCTTCACCAACTCATATCCACAACCTTAGATTATACAAATCCGCTCTCACCCACCATCTGGAAAGTACCTAACCCTTCCCCCCCCCCCAAAAAAAAAACAAAAAAAAAAACAAAAAAAAAAACAGTTTTCCAGTTTGAGTTTAATTTGAACTTGGCTTAGTTTTGACTAATTCATTTTCATGCATTTGAATGTTATTAGGTCTTTGAGTTTGTTTTGTACAAATGCTGTTGAGTAGTGTTTGACTTGTGTTGAATAGGCCCGGCTCAATAAGAGTAAACTTTTATATTAAAAATTGTTCTGATTATCCAAATCAATTCATATTCAACTTATTTTCAAATAATTCAATATACCGTATAAATCTCTCTCTTATAAGTTGAATATGAATTGATTTCAGACTCAATAATTACCACAAATTATGACATAAGCCTTCATCAATAAGATAAATTTTAGGTGGAGACCCTTTCAATATACGACGAAAGTGGCTAACCACGGTCCAGGGTATTCTTGATCACCCATTAACTCAGTCCAAATAAATATGTTGTTGAAAAATTCAGTTTTTCAAGATTAATTATTACTTTTTTGATATAGCTTATAAATTTTATTATAAAAAAAAAAAAATCAACTTGAATATTACTCAATTTCTCTATTGCACACCAGAAGATCCGAACCTCTTGAGAACAACAAACCTGATCGTACAGCAGTGGATCTCGAGTAGTGACTTCAAAGTTCAAACAATTAGTCGGAACTCGAATATTCTCAAACTCTGACTACTTCAATTGGCTTTATCACTCTCTATAATTACACCATTTTCTCTCTCATCTCATCACTGCCTGACCTCACTCAAGTCTCAACAGAGTCAACACGCACACAACCCCTCCGAGCAGGCGAATATAAAAAGTAGCTTCCAACTCCGCCACTTTCACTTCCGGCGCAAATTAGCACCATCGGCGTACATACATCGTGTCCAATATAGCGAGCGAGAGAGAGAGAGAAAGAGAGGGGAAAAAAAAAACCAGTAGACTAATGGCAGATTCCGCTTCATCGAGTCTCTTCACCGCTCCCTCTCTCAATAAATCTTCTCTCTCATGGACCGTCCCTCTCTCCTCTGCCTTCGGCGTCACCGCCGTCTCTCTTCCTCGCCGCAGCAACCGCCGGCAGCAGCGGTTCTTGGTGTTTGCAATGGACGCCAAACCGACGGTTCTCGTAGCCGAAAAGCTAGGAGAGGCTGGACTTAAGCTCCTTAAAGACTTTGCGAACGTTGATTGTTCGTATAATCTCAGTCCAGAGGAGCTCTGCACCAAGATCTCGCTTTGCGATGCGTTGATTGTTCGGAGTGGAACGAAAGTTAGTCGCGAGGTGTTCGAGTCTTCTGGTGGAAGATTAAAGGTTGTTGGAAGGGCTGGTGTGGGGATCGATAACGTGGATCTGGCTGCGGCGACGGAGCATGGTTGTCTTGTGGTTAATGCGCCGACGGCTAATACGGTTGCGGCGGCGGAGCATGGGATTGCGCTTCTCACTGCTATGGCGAGGAATATCGCGCAGGCCGATGCGTCTATCAAATCTGGTTAGCTATCTATACATAAATTATAACGTTGTGATTTCTTTGAAATGATGTGTCTTTTAGGTTACAGATCTTCTGTTTGGCATTTCTTCGAATAACTTCTTTGGTTGGCGCGTGCGTGTTTGTCTCCTTGTTTAAAGTTCTGTTTTACCTTTTCGGGATTTAGAAAGTTGAGAGAAGTATACAACTTTCATCGAATTGATATTGATTGAGCTGAATAAGGTGGAGACTTGCCCGATTTGATTGTTGTCTGTACACCTTGGTCATTGATCTATTTATTTTCAAGAAAGGTTCTGTTTGTAGCGATTTTGGTAGTAAGAAATAGCTGCTATGTAAGTGGATAAAGTTTGAACTTTTAACAAAATTAACATCTTTTTGAGTAATCACACGCTGCACATGCTCATAATACACTCACTATTCGCAATTCAGGAAAGTTAAATCACCAATTGATTCCTAAGAGATGCCAGTTACGTGATGTTTTTTTTTTTTGATACTTAACTGTTCTAATATTATTGGCACCTGTTGATGCCAAAATATGCTCAGCTGTTTTCTTTAAGATGGATGGCTCACCAACAGTCTACAAAGAATATGATCAAAGGGGCTCTGGCCTCTTGCCTATGGGACCCCCAATGCTTAATGTTAGCGAAGTGAAGATAGAAAAGTTGCTTATATTCAATAGGAATATTCAAAGTGTATAATGAATGCGAGTAGGCTTACCTCTCTTACACAGAGTTGTCCCTCTTAGATAGATAGGGTTCAATAATTTTGTATGAGATATACTATAAGGAGGTCAGTGGAGAAATCACAGTGAGAATATCTTCTTTACATATCCTGGACATATTGTAGTGCCTTGTAGACTTGGGGTTTGGATTTGGCATGGCTTATTGGTGTAGTTCTCCTTGATGAGTTTGGATTTCCCCTCAATGAGCTGTCTGTAACATATGCGCCACATTATTAGGCTTTGGCCGAACCATTTCTCAGATTCCTCATGCTTGGACTAATTTGTGCCGAGTTGAGCAAGTGTATGCTTGCATAGGCTTGATCTAGCCGAGCTGGACTGTCTTATCATTTTGAGTTTTTCTGCTCATTATGTCACTGTAGTTGCAATTGCTCACGTATCAGTACCTTTTTAAATTTTCTTCTGGATTCTTAAAGTGAGAAGGGGAATAAAACCTTGAAAATGTTGACTATTGGCGAGCTCCAATAATTTTTGACCTCCAGGTGGTAAATGAAATATCAATTTTATTTTCTTTCGGGAAGCTGAAATTATATGTCTCATAACTGGTATCTTTTCCACCATCAGAGCCATCCTCACATTATCAATAAGGCCACGCATGACATTGGCTTCTATTTCCAACACCACTTGCTTGTTAGCTATAAAATCACATATCTTCTGTCACTCCACCACTAGAGCCTCGCTCACTAAAAGTATTGTCAGCACTGCTGCTTACATTAATTGTCTCCCTGTTTTCACTCTGTATGACACTGCCATCACCACTCTCCTATCAACAAGCATCACTAATTTTTACAGCATGGTTACAATGGCTATTTTAATCAGCAGTTACCTTGCACATTCTATTTTATTATTAATGTACTGTGTTAAGCCACAAAATTTGAATTTTTTTTTTTACTTTTCATTTCTGAATAAGATATGATAGCACTATATAGGTTTATGGGTTTCAATTGGGTTCGTCAGCATCATCAGTTCTGTTTTCAAGTAAGCTAAACCAAATCGTTAATCTTTTATTGTACTGGTTAGAGTTTCCTGTGATTTGGGACTTCTAGAAGTATTGTTAGTATTAGATATTACTTTTTTATCGCGGTGTTTAAGACAGTTTATGATATCCCAATAGAATTATCTTGTTATATTAGTACCAGATAATTTATCGATTTCCTATTGAATTAGTATTTTGGGTAAAAACCTTGTTGGTTTACATTTTAGTAGTATGGTAATCATGTTGGTTATATTGTAGTCATGATGATTTTAGTGGCATTCATGAGATATCAAATCCTCTTAAGCTGTCATCTTCTGATTTACCCAGGGAAGTGGCAACGGAACAAATATGTTGGTGTCTCCCTTGTTGGTAAAACACTTGCTGTCATGGGATTTGGAAAGGTTGGATCGGAAGTTGCCAGGCGTGCCAAGGGGCTTGGTATGCATGTAATTGCACATGATCCATATGCTCCGGCAGACCGTGCTCGTGCAATAGGAGTGGATCTTGTGAGCTTTGATGAAGCCATTGCAACTGCAGATTTCGTCTCACTTCACATGCCTCTTACTCCTTCTACCTCAAAGATTCTCAATGATGAAAATTTTGCAAAGATGAAGAAAGGAGTACGAATTGTTAATGTTGCTCGTGGAGGAGTGATTGATGAAGAAGCTTTAGTGAAGGCATTGGATGCTGGCATTGTGGCTCAGGTTTTTGCTCTTCTCTTTGAAATACAGAAAATCTATTATTTGTAGAAAGAAAGTGGATAGCATGATCATATTTCTTGCAGGCTGCACTTGATGTTTTCATGGTAGAACCACCACCACAGGACAGCAAGTTGGTACAACATGAGAATGTTACTGCAACTCCACATCTTGGTGCTAGTACTATGGAAGCGCAGGTGTGTAGGATTGTTGGTGTCGCTTTCTGCTTAGACGTAACTATTCTTTTCCAATCATGTTTAATTTTGGTGTGCAGGAAGGCGTGGCTATTGAAATTGCTGAAGCTGTTGTAGGAGCCCTAAAGGGTGAGCTTGCTGCTACTGCGGTGAATGCCCCCATGGTTCCAGCTGAGGTATCTTTCCAAACTAATGCTCTCAATTATTAGTTCATTTATTCACATCTATAGTCCTAGTATTCTCACAAACAGTGATGTATTTTCCCTCATTTTTGGCTTTAAAATAAATTTTCTGGTGGGGTGCATGTTTTTCACCCGTGTGCTAGTTTTAAGAACAACTTGGTTTTATTCAGCTGACTCTTAACTCAGATGTGTTCAAAGTAGATATCTAAGGTCAAGAATGACTATTCCTGGACCATGTATATAAACTCTTTTTTTCATAGCGAAAGAACAGGTTGCTTCTAACCATTCACCCACCTTGGATGAATAGTCGGTCTGATTCTCCTTATTTGTTTGGTGTTTTATACAGCATTAGTATGAGAAGTTGTTATAAATGGGAAAAGGAATTTCGCTCCATGTTCTAGTTTTTTGGAAAATGTTCGAGTTGTCCAAATAATCGTCCATATTATATCTTAATCAGCTATCTGGGTTAGTTGTCCATATGTAAAGTATACGGTGTATTTTGTTGTACGGCTGGATTTAGGTGTTCATTGAAGTCAGAAACCTCATACATGAAGAGGTCAGAATGCAGGAAAAGCATGAGTTCTGATTTTAGATTTACTTGTCTGCTGCAGGTTCTGACGGAGCTGAAACCATTTGTTGTCCTTGCTGAAAAGCTTGGCAGACTTGCTGTCCAGTTAGTAGCAGGTGGAAGTGGTGTGAAATCCATAAAAGTGACATATGGTTCTGCTAGAGCTCCTGATGATCTCGACACAAGATTGCTTCGTGCCATGATCACAAAGGGTCTGATCGAGCCTATATCCTGTGTCTTTGTGAACTTGGTGAACGCAGATTTCACCGCTAAGCAGAGAGGACTCCGAATATCTGAAGAACGAATCCTTCTAGATGGCTCACCAGAAAGTCCACTCGAGTTCATCCAGGTTCAGATTGCCAATGTGGAATCAAGATTTGCCAGTTCCATTTCAGAGCTTGGGGAGATCAAGGTAGAGGGACGGGTGAAAGATGGGGTACCACATTTGACAAAGGTTGGATCTTTTGACGTGGATGTGAGCTTGGAAGGAAGTATTATCCTCTGTAGGCAGGTTGATCAGCCCGGTATGATTGGGAAAGTGGGGAGCATTCTGGGCGAGGACGGTGTTAATGTAAGCTTTATGAGTGTTGGAAGGATTGCTCCACGAAACCAAGCTGTGATGGCTATTGGAGTAGATGACCCACCCAGCAAGGAGACTTTGAAGAAGATTGGGGAAATTCCTGCCATAGAGGAGTTTGTTTTCCTTAAGTTGTAGTCTGGCTTCTTGTATAACTGCATTTTCATATGGTACCCAATTTTGATAATTGTTTGTGTTATGAGCGAGAGCTTTAGCTTGGGAAAATAAATAATTTGGCTTTGTAATGTTTAAATTTTATTGAGTTGCTATTGTTGTTTATCAATTCGATTGCTAGCAATGGGTTTTGAATGCCCGATCCCTCCCATTTCATAAATCAACTTTCTGATTTCCGTGTTTTAATAATATTGTTGTGACCGTTATTTTTGTATTTTTTTTATTGATATTCTATTATTTGATATATTATTATATCAATAAACTATGTTAGTTTTTTAGATGTCAACAGTAATATTTTCTTGCAAATGCATAGTGGTTGGTCATTCAAATGTCTTCTTCCTTACCTTTTTTGGGAGTATTTTATTTATTTTTTTTTTTTTGATGGTTAAAAAAGAGGTGCGGGTAAAAGAGGACGCCCAGAGATTATTCTGATCGACTTTCATTGGTGGGATTATAAAGCTCTTGATCGCGTTCGGTATTTTTTTTGGGAACAAATCTAGTTAAGTTAGTAAAACGGTCAATTATCGAGTTTTAATATGAATTTTAAGATTCAAAATTTTAACCTTAAAATAAAAAATTTGATCTCCAATAGGTGGTTTTAGGAGTCGTTTAGATTATAAAAAAGGCTAGGGAATTGTTCACCTTTAGAAATTTAGATACCTATACTTTAGGGTCCCAGGTTGGGATGACCCTTAAGTAGCATTTGACAAATTATTCAACCCCGAGCAATCGTAATTATTGATAAAATTTTGGTTCCTTACTTGATATTTATTTAGCTATTCAATTATAAAGATAAAATAATAAAAATGCTATTTATATTTAATTTGAAAATTTAATTAATTATAGCACCTAATTAATAACAGTAATTGGATTAAAAATAAATTTCATCTACTATTAAAATTTATTACCAATTCAATAATCACAATGAATTAAGTGTATGGTTAGGTTAGTGTTACCCTTGGGTAATATCATAAAATCTTTGTTAACCTTTCTTCAAAGATTAAAATATTATTTCTAAATATATGAAACGTTTTTGTTTTCAAGAAAATCGAAACAAATAGGTGGTGGAATCAAAACACTAATATTTTGAAGTGTTTCATAATATTTTATAAATATTTTTGAAAAATAAATTTTTATTTTTTTTTAATTTGTTTCTGTAATCTTTTCCGAAATACGTCGAAATATTTTCGTTTATTAAGTGACCGAAATAATGCACTAAAATAAAATTTTAATCTTAACATTTCTCTTGTATTTTTTAACAAGTTCAATTTCATACCGACCAAAAAAAAAAAATTAATTCCATTATATATTTTTATAAGTTATTATTTTTTATCTTTTTTAACAATAAAATATATTCGAACCAATTTATCCGTAACTTAATTTGATTCACCCGAAATTAAAGTATTCATATGTAAATTCTAGTCTGCCAGGGATGATTCTGGGAAGGACAAAGAATGCAGCTTTCCGTCAAGAAAACTCCCTTTAACTTTTGATTTCACTTTCACTTCTCTTCCCACCTCTTTTGGAATAACTTAACGCTGGAAGAGATAAAATAGGAGATTTCTATGGCAATTTTGTGGGTCTATTTTCATGGTGCGGTAGGTAATTGACATCAACTTTCATGATTATTGACGGGTCAGCTTGATGATGCAGTGTACTGGTGGACCACAATTTTATTCTCTTCACAATGTAGATTACTGTTGCAGTCATTGGGTAAGTCTAACTATCAAGGAAAGTTTTTCTCTTGCGCAAAAAAAAACAACCAGTTAGAGAGCTTGCGAGTAGAGAAGATGGCTCAAACTGTTGTTGAATTTCTGTTGGAGGACCTGAAGCAGCTACTCGACCATAGCTCTAATTGCGTTCTTGCTGAAAAGGATGCAATCGAAACCCTTTATGAAGAGCTCGAGTTCATAAGGAGTTTCCTCTGTGATTTGCAGAGTTGCAATCAGCATGAGGTATTGGCAAATTTAGTGGCAAGAATTAAAGATACAGCTTGCGATGCATTAAATTACCTGGATTATTTTGCTCTCAGTGTCATCAATGGGAAGTATAAAACCATTTCTGGGCAAACTAATGGTGTTTTTGACCATTTCCCAAAGCTTAGAAATTTCAGAGAAGAGATCAAGTCTATCAAGAAAGAGGTGATGGTGATTTATATGAAGAAGTTGTATGGGGTTGGAGTCTCGCAACTAGGAGTAATCTCCACCACTGAAAGTTTTTATAGAGGGAGTACAACCAATACTGTAGCGGAAGATGAAATTGTGGTGGGCTTTGACAATGAGATAACGGCGATGTTGGAGAGACTTGCCGGAGATCAGAAGCAACTGGAAGTTATCTCGATTGTGGGGATGGCCGGAATCGGTAAGACAACTTTGGCTCACAAACTTTACAATCATCCTTTGATCACATATCATTTCTATGTTCGTGGATGGACATGTGAGTCACAAGGGTATCATAAGAAGGATATGTTGTTTGATATTCTAAGTTCTGTTGTCGACAGTAAGGATGAAATTTTAAAAATGAGTGAAGAAGGATTAGGAGAAGAGCTATATAGACGCTTAAAGGGTAAGAGATACCTTATTGTCCTAGATGACATGTGGAATATTGAAGCTTGGAATGATTTACGAAGATCTTTTCCAAACGACAATAATGGAAGTAGAATTATGATCACGACCCGGAATGGTAAATTGGCTTGGCAAATTAAACCTGATAGCACTCCTCTTTTTCTACAATTTTTGACTGAAGATGGGAGTTGGGATCTATTGGAACGGAAGGTATTTCGAGAAAAAAACTGCCCTTCGGAGTTGCTGGAAATTGGAAAGCAAATCGCTGCAAAATGTCAAGGATTACCCCTTGCAATTGTTGTTGTAGCTGGACTTCTTGCAAAGACACATAAAACACCGGACTGGTGGAAGTCAGTTGCCAGAAATTTAGCTTCATATGTCAATCGTGAATATGGACTTATGAACATACTAGCAATGAGCTACGAGCACTTACCTCAATGCTTGAAGTCATGCTTTCTCTATTTTGGAACATTTGATGAAGACTTTGAAATCCCTGTTCCGAGGTTGATATTGTTGTGGATTGCTCAAGGATTTGTGAAGGAAATGGAGCAAAGAAGCTTGGAGGATGTAGCGATGGATTACTTGATGGATCTAATAGATAGAAGTTTGGTAATAGTTGCCAAGAAAAGTTCTAAAGGTGGAATCAAGTCATGTCGCATCCATGATACCTTGCATGATCTATGCTTGAAAAAAGCCGAGGAAAAGAAATGGCTGCAGCAGTTTGACTGGCATGGACGAGTTACTTCGTTTCGTTGTGCTATCTCACATAATGACTGCCACTTGTGCTTTCATTCTCATGGTTTACATAACAGTTTTGGGCAGCATTGTGCTCCAACAGTCCGCTCTCTCTTCTCATGTTTCTTAGAAGGGTTTTTAGGTCCTAAGGTGACTACCACAGCATATATTTATAAGCTTCTTAGAGTGTTAAGTTTATGGCGTGTTTATCTGGAAAGCTTTCCAGTTGAAATATTGGTGCTAGTCCATTTGAGGTGTTTGGAACTTCGGGTTCGCCTCCTTGACAGGCTGCCTTTAAAAGTATCCAATTTACGGAACTTAGAAACCCTAGTTATTTTGAAAGGGGAGTATGGGAGAGTCACTATACCGCATACTCTTTGGAGTATGGTGAAGTTGAGGCATATACGAATTTCAGAGATAGAATTCGAAAAACCTTGTTCCAATTATGTCTATCCCCCTGTATTGAATGCCTTGCAAAGTATTCACGCATTACGACTTTCTGATTCAATGAAGGATGCTGAAGATGTCTTGGAAAGGGTTCCCAATCTTAGGAAGTTGTCATTCGATCGAGGTCCATCCGACGGGGGAAAACCCATCTTTCCTGATCTAGCCGAGATTTCCTACTTTATCTCTTTGGCATCAGATTATTATCGACGAACACCCCACTGGCGGAATACGTGGAACTCTTCTCTAGCCAATTTACTTCTAGGTGCACCATATTATCGAAGTCCTGACTGCCAGAGTTTTTGTCTCCCTGATCTCGCCAATTTAGTTCACCTTGAAACATTGAAGTTGGAAGACACTGCTTGGTTTGCAGCACCACCAACCGTTCCCCAACCAAGTAAATTTCCTCCAAATCTGAAGAAGCTATCTATAACAGGTTGCAATATTTGTTGGAAGCAAATCTCAAACATTGGGAAGTTACCTAACCTCGAGGTGCTGAAATTAGGCCGTGATTCCTTCAAAGGGCCACTGTGGGAGACCAGTGATGGGGAGTTCCGTCGACTCAAATTCTTGCAACTTTCAGAGATGGATCTTCAACAATGGGTCACCTCCAGTAGTCATTTTCCCACTCTGGAGCGATTAGTGTTGGATAAATGCTATGATCTTGAGGAGATACCCTCTAGCTTAGGTGATATACCAACGCTACAGATGATTGAGGTGTATCGTTCAAGTCGGTCTGCTGCAATTTCGGCCAGGCAAATTCAAGAAGAGCAATTCAACATGGGAAATGATTCACTCAATATCCTTGTCTACCCTCCATATAAGAAGGAGTGTCGGGATTCAAAGGAAGGGCCTTCCACAGATGATATGTGAGGTAGTTTTTTCAAAACTCTTCAATCATTCATGCATATATATATGCGTATTGGAGGGAAGAATTTATGGGACAATTATTTAATGTTGTTAGTAAATAAACAATCTAGGTAGTGAATAACCTCCACTGAGATTTGAAGAAGCAATTGTCATGGATTTGTTCCCCTAGGTAATCTTAGTGCTGAAATTGGATTTGTGTTCTGTTCCCTTTGAGAAGCCTAACAATTGACTGCTAAAAAAAAAAAAAATACACACATATATATGGAATTCGAAGGAAAGACACTAATATATTTTTCTTATGGTTTTTTGATATTCTAAGTTATTGTTTTGATATGTCACATTTTGATCACAGACAGTATACTATTCTCTTAATGGTAGATTACACTACATGAATTCGAGTTGGACAGAACTCTATATGACAGGATCTTCATATCATCATTTGGAAAACTGTTCATGGGTGGGAGCTTTGAAAGTGAAGAAAATGGGATAAACTTTATAATTGTAAGAATTGCTTCATGGATACTATGTAATTTTAACCAACTACAGACAGCATTAGAGAGAGAGAGAGAGAGAGAGAGAGGCCTGCCCGTCAACCCCTAGGAAACTGGTTGACATGTACAAGTCAACATTTTAGAAACACAACAAGTGCAAAAAAAAACACAACTTGGACGGCTTCTTTGTTGGATTTGCCTATAAATTTATTAATTTCTAATCAAAAGAATTACAAGAACCACAAAACATTTACCTGTCCTAAGAAAGAGGAGAGTTTTGGTTTATAATGATCAAGGGTAATTGTGGTTGCTTGGATGCTGAGCTTGTGCCTGTAGTTTTTAGTGTTGATTTGTTTGAAACAGGTCATTTTTATTGGCTGGAAGTTGAGGTCAGTTCAAATTGTTGCAGTGAAAGCTGTTGGTGGCCTGTTTTACTGCTGTTATTGGTTGGAGGTGGCTGTAAGAGTGATGTTTCTGCTGACTGTTTTTGGGAGCTGGCCTGTAATCTTTTGATTTGGTTTTCTATTTGTTTTTGTTTTTGGAATAGGAGGCCTTATGTGGTTTTCCTTTTTGCTTCTTGTAATGCTGTTTTGTTCATATATATATATATATATAAGGCATTGTTAGTAGCTTGACTATCAATATTTCATCTGGTGGAGAATCCTGAATATTTAAAAGTATCATTCTAGTGAAAATGTAATGAGCTAGTTTTATTATGAAAAAAGAAATATTAATTATTATTACCGGCGTTTATTTAAACGCCGAAAACTAGAAAACCTGAAAAAATAATTACTGGCGAATTGATCGAAATTTTACAAGGAAGTCGTCGATTAAATAAACGTCGCTTAAATGCTTAGTAAACGTTATTTTAATTTTTGTGACGTTTAATTATACGCCGGTAATTTTTCCGACTGAACTTTCAACGTCGTTAATAGTAAACGATAGGACACGGACACACTTTGATATGAAATTTTTCAAAAAAATAGGACACGGATGAGTTGGAGATACGTTAAATAATATGTATATATATATATATGAATAATCATGTGATAAAATACAAATATTATCATAACAATATTTTAATTCATTCTTTTCCTACATAAAAAATACAATATAAGATAAAACGATACACATTCAACATTAACATCTATGATCCAACAATCAATGACTATTATAATTTTTATTTTCAAAAATATTTTATTTCGTAACACAAATTTTCATCAATTTCAAAGAGTCTTAATTTTGTAACCTCATTTTTTTTTCATATTACTTTTATAATAAAAGTTTATTCCATTTGCATATAAAATTCGTATTCGTATTCAAAATTATGTTACATTTATCTCTTATGTTCAATGTAGTGATTATAACTCCTTTTATATTATGACTTTGGCTCATATTTTTTTAAAATTATAAAAATAATTCATAATTAAAAAGTAATCTAAAAAATGATCAAAATTTTGAAAAAAAAAAAAATTCAAAATGTGTCCCAATGTGTTCTGAGCATGTCGGCCACGTGTCCCCGTCGTGTTTGAAAAGAAATTTAACAATAAAAAAATTAGATATTCATTTTAGCGTGTCCGACATGTGTCGAACGTGTCTGACACTGATACTCGGGCCAAAATGAAATGTCTCTGCTTTCTGGGTCTGATGGAATCATGTCATTGTGGGATCTGCATCATTATCTCTCACTCCTACCAAAATGAAGTGTTAGTGCTTCTTAAATCTGATCGGATCATATCATTGTGAGATCCTGCATCATTGTCTCTCACTCCTTCCCATAGTCGTAGTTCTCATTCGGTGTCGAGCATAAATGAATTTATCTAAAGCAGTCAGCTCTATGTAGAGTAGTATTTTTGTGTTATGGGTTTACAAATTGCCCCTTTTCATGGCAGGGGTGGGAAGCATTGGGGATCACATTGCATCTGGATTCAACTCATCTCTTCCAGAATTGAATGATGGAAGTTTTCGAAAGGTTGCCCTCTGAACAGGTAGGCATGGTGCTATTTTTGGCATGTTCAATCTGGTTTTCTGATACCATAGATATAGAGCTTTATTGGAGCAACTTGCTCATTCTCCAAATCAGTTTGTGGGTTTCGCATCTCGTTACTTTTGTCATGTCCAAAAGCAAATTATGCAGGTTATGTCTTGAACACAACCCCTACACACACTTAGGTGCACGACCAGAGTATGCTAGTCGAGGTTATCCACTACTCAAAGTACCCTCCAAAAAGGTAAAAGATGTGTCTCTCAAGTTCGGTGAGTCTTAGTTGGGTTGGGCGGGTTCAAACAAAAATGCTATGCTTACACATAAGACTATCATTCTTCCCAAAAGCTTCATAGGGACTACTTTACAACGATGGACAACCAACCGGGAGTCTTCAAAATAAACTTTGATGGAGCAACTTTCAAATCAGCTAAGGCGACTGGAATTGATGTGGCTATCAGAGATTGCAATGGGACTTTTGTGGAGGGTCTGTCTCAGTTAATAAGAGGTTTTGGTGCAAGCAGAGTCCATGGAAGCTTTGGCAGCTTTCACAGCTATGGAGCTGGCTGTGGAGTTGACAGAATTAGTGAGAGCTACCTTAATTTGGAGAGATTTTCTCTCTTTTGTCAACAAAGAGGAGACCCCTCTCCCATTCCCAACATTTATTTTTCCTAAATGAGATCCTTTTTTCTTTTTGTGGACATCGGAAAAAAAGAATATTATTATTGGGATGTAAAAAATTATTCTAATTTATTGATATAATGATATTTCAAGTGATTAACTCTCAATGAAAAATCCAACTGTTATAGTTGTAATAATGTTATTCAATCATGTTATTGTCACTTTGTGATATTATTAAAGGAGCATATTAAATCACGTTTTTAGATTCAATTAACATTATTGCGGAAAAAATATTTAATAAAATTAGCTTTGTGATATAATTTGACATGCTACTAACATTTTTTATTTTTGGGCCGTTAGAATAGGCTTGTAAATTTTCATCAAGATGCTATAATATGAGACGAACTTGAAAATGACACAATAAATTTATAAAAATAAAAATAAAAAGAAAAAGAAATTAAGTTGGTATCAAATACATATCATTTAACTGGTATTGTAATAGCAAATATCTATTTTTTTTGTTACTTTCTTGTTTATTGATTTAATTAAGTAAAATGTTGTTTCACATAATTTTTTATAAAAAAAATAAATGTACTTTATTTTTTTAATATTTAACGATGACGAGGTGGTGTATATATATAAATTATAAAGTGTCCAGATTTTTGTCAACTGCTCATTCGACTTTAGTGATTAATTACTGTGACAAGTCCGAGAACGAGGCACAATTTTCTCCCCCTATAATGGAAAAGACCAGCATGGCAAGGAATACTCAGGGACGCTTTAACTTTGTTAAAGCGTTCACATTGAAACACAAGGTTGAAGAGCAAAAGTAAAAGTAAAAGATTTCTATGGCAATTTTGTGGGTCTATTTTCATGGTGCGGTAGGTAATTGACATCAACTTTCGTGATTATTGATGGGTCAGCTTGATGATGCAGTGTACTGGTGGACCACAATTTTATTCTCTTCACAATGTAGATGTGCGTGCAAGATCCTGTACAATATAAAAAACGAGAACAGATCTCTCTCTTGGTGAACTTGAGTGAGCCAGTTGAGTGACCAACCACGCTGCTTGAAACAGCCTGCGAGGTCCGGTGGTAACCTGGAACGGCAACGGGAGATCCTGGGGGAGCGGAAGAACGATCCAGTAAGGCTGAAAGAGATTCCTGGAACGAAAGAGAACAAGTTAGAAGGGCGCCGGAGTGTTTTTCGGCATATCCCTTCCGACGATCTAGTCAGTCTTTGAGAAAGAGAGAGGAAAGAGAAAACACTGAGTGTGTATTGTCGTAAAGAGTTTGTTGTTGCATACCCGTCTTGCCTTTTGCAAGGAGTATTTATACCTCAAAAGCTCATAATTGCTGTCAGTGTAGTCAGTATGTGATCATTAGGTACAGGCAGTGTGCGCACTGATTCTGATGAGGAATGTCTTCTCTTCTTAACTGCTCGGGGTCCCGAGCAATCAATGCTGTGTCATCGGGATGCCGACGGTACAATGTACTCCTCTCGGGGAGGATGCAATAAATGCTCTGTATTAAGAGCATTTATTGTCTTTCATTTCTGAGTCTTACCGCATTGAATGCGGTCTTGTCAAGGGAATGATGTAATTAATCGTTTGCTTTCCCAAGTCGCGTGTCAGCAACGGCATGCGGTTTCTCTGTCTTCGATGTGATATCATATGTCACGCGTCCATCCCCCATTGGCTGTGACCCCTGCATTCCAGTACGTTCTGACACTAATTGTGTAAGACGAGGTCATGATGAATAGCCTAGACTAGCCTAGGCTAATGACCTGTACGTCAATAGCTTATCCTGGAATAGAGGAAGCGTCCAGGACGGGGTACCTTTCGGCACCGAGGAAAAGCCATCTCGGAACCGAGGGAGGTATACCGACCGAGGTATCATATCAGACCGAGGCTACGTGTTGGTTGTAACTCGTACTGAATGCTATGATCCTATATAACGAGTACCTCGGG